TGCTTAGAGAGAATGCTTTATAGTCTACATATAGGGCATGCTAGGATTTAAAGTTTTATATAGCCTATAAACTATAGTAGTTTTAATAATGTTACTTAAAACTTTATTTAGATTTTAAGCCTTTATAAAAAGCTTAGCTTATATAACTTAATTAATAAAGTTTAGATTAAAAAACTAATTATAGTAATTATAACATAAAAAAAGTAGAATGTAAGCATAAAGTAAACCCTACTTTTAGTACTTAATAGTATACATAATACTAGTATACTAGCTAAATACATAGTTAGTCTAGAGGTCTGTAAGGAGGGAGTTAAGACGCAGCTTAAAAACGCGTGTAACTAGATCTAGCTAATCTAATAGCTAAAAGGACGTACTAATCTCCTGCTCTAACTCTAGCTATTTAGAATTAGTAGTAAAAGTAATAAATAAAGTAAGTTAACTAAGCTTTTAAATAGTAGCTATAAAGTTTTAATAACACTACATAATAAAGTAACTACTGCTAATGTAACTTAAAGGAAAAACAGTTTAAATTCTAACTAAATTAGCCTAAAAGTTGTTTTAATCTAATGCATTACACACTTCTTAATATAGATTAGCATGTAACTGTTTTTAATTTACTATAATCTACTATAACTTTCTTTATTTACACTAAGCCTAGCAGTTAATAATAAATTACTAGAATAATAAACTATAATTAAAAGGCATAATAAGACTACTACACTAAAAAAATAAGTAAAATTAGTAATACTTAGAATTAGTTAGAGTATTCTAAGTGCAAAACATGCGTAAAGTACACAGCTATAAACTATAGTAAAACCTAAAAGTACTCTATAAAAATATTAAAACATAGTAGAGAAGCTAATATGCTATATATGTATATTTAATTTTTTAGTATAGAGACTAACAGTGTTTTAAATTAGGGCTAAGTTAGTAGTAAAAAATAAAATTTTAGTTATAATCTTTAACTAGCTTATTATAAACTAAAGTAGTAATTTTTTTAGTAATAAGTAAGTTTTTTTAATATTAATTAGCTCTAGCCTACATAATTAACTATAGTTATAAATTAAAAGTAATTTATAATTTCTTATTTTACTTATAAGCTTACTGTAACTACTTATATGTAGTTTTATATATTTTAATTTAAAAATTATTATAATCTATTTTAACTATCTATAGCAGCTGTGTAAGTATAGTTAGATTAAGACTACTATTAGCCTAATGCCCTATACACACACTGTTAGCCTAGGCAGGATTGTAAAAGTACAGCTGTGCGTAAGAGAGGACGTCCCCCTTAGCAGGCTTTAATAGGCTATGTATATAGTACATCTTTTTTATAATCTAAAAAACCTTTATGCCTATGCTATATACACTTTAATTTATTTATTTATAGTTAGCTAACATAAAAGCTAAAGCTGTGTTATATAATTAAAGATGCTTCTAAAAAGATCTGCTAAGTAGGTGCTTACCCTGCAAAAGATAACACAGAAATAAAGGTAGATCTAAAAAAGTTAAAAAGTTAATATTACCTATTAAGTAATATATAAAGTACTAAGGAGAATTTACCTAACTCTTATTAACCTGCTTTTTAAGCTAGTAAAAGGCACTATAGTTAAAATAGCTACTTATAGAATTCTGTATTAAACTAAAGTTAATAGAAGTAATATAGTTTATAGTAGTAATAATATATGCCTTTAGTAAATTATCTTATAAAAGACTAGCCTTTAGTTGCTTTTAATTTTTACATAACGTACTTCATAGGCGAGTTGCTCACACACCTGAGTTGCTTACTTTTGCTAAGACCCCACTAAACCACCCTTTCTACACTAATGCATTCCCTACAACACTACTTAAACGCGCTAAAAGAACATTAGATATAGCTTACGCTCTAAGCTTTTAAATAAAACATAAAACTCTTAAAGAAATATGCTGTAGCTATGTATAAAGTCCTATAAAAGATAACAAATAACTATAGCACTAGACAACTTTTACAAGCTAATTCTACAGCTAAATTATAAAGGCTAGGCAATAAAAAGAAGCAGGTGATTATTAAGACTATACTTAAGCTATATGCGTAAGGAATTTCCTCTTAGATAGTATTTATAGCTAATATAGCTAATTCTTTGCGCGCTAAGCGTAATCTAGGCTATGTTTACATAAACTAGCCTAGTATGTTTGTAAAGTGTTATTTAGAGCTTAAAGTAAAGTTTTAAGCGCAAGTATAGTTAAAAGATATCTAGCTAATTATAAACCCTGTCTTGCTAAAGTTGTACGTGTTATTATCCTAGATGCTATACTTAGCTTTAATATTCTCTACAAGGCTAAACCTGCCCTAAATTACCCTAGAACTCTTATAGAGGGCTCTCTTATAGTTATACTTACGCTTAAATGTTACTTTAAGCTCTAAATAACGCTTCACAAACGTACTAGGCTAGTTTATGTAAACATAGCCTAGATTACGCTTAGCGCGCAAAGAATTAGCTATATTAGCTATAAATGCTATCTAAGGGGAAATTCCTTGCGCATATAGCTTAAGTATAGTCTTAATAATTACCTGCTCCTTTTTATTGCCTAGCCTCTATAATTTAGCTGTAAAATTAGCTTATAAAGGTTGTCTAGCGCTGTAGTTATTTATTATCTTTTATAGGACTTTATATATAGCTATAGCACATTTCTTTAAGAGTTTTATGTCTTATTTAAAAGCTTAGAGTGTAAGCTGTATCTAACGTTCTTTTAGCGCGTCTAAGTAGTGTTATAGGGAATGCATTAGTGTAGGAAGGGTGGTTTAGTAGGGTCTTAGCAAAAGTAAGCGACTCAGGTGTGTGAGCAACTCGCCCATGAAGTACGTTATAAATAAAGATAAAGCAAGCTAATCTAAAGTATATTAAAAAAGTAAAGATTAGACAAGTCTTTATAAAGTTAGCTATATATTATAATAATATATATATATAGACAGCATAAAAAAAGTAAAAGTTAGTGTAAAAAACTTAGAAAAAGTTAATTATATATTATAATAGATTTAAATAGATAGTGTAGAAAAAGTAAAAAAAAGCATAAAAGTCTTAAAAAGGTTTTAATATATATAAAATAATTAATTAAGCACTAGCGTTCTACTTAATGCAGTGTTACGCCTAGCATGTGCAGGTTAGCCTTAGCATAGACTTAATTAGACTATAGTAGCGTAAGCTTAAACACATTTTAAAAGTTATACATTAAAGTTAACATTAGCTAATAGCTAACACGCCTAGATAAAACTAGATATAAGCGCTAAAGAATATAATAATTATAATAAAGTAATATACTACACAGCTATGTTTATTACACTAGTAATAAAGAGCTCTAACTTTATTAGTAAAAAAGTTAAAGAAGGGTCTATAGTTATTATAGACTAAGCAGAAAGTAAGCAATAAGTCTATATAGTAATAATATAAAAAAATAACACTGTATAATAAAAAAAAGAGAATAAGTTAAGAGAGAAAGGTACTAATTAAAAAAAGTTAAAGTAGATTAAAGATAAATTAACTTTAAGTAAATTAAGATTTTACTTATTAAAATAAGGTGTAGTAAGGCTTATGCTACACTAAATAAAATTATTTTTTTAGAGACTTTAAAAGTATAACTTTTTTTAAAATAGCATTTTTATTAAGTTTAAAAAAAAACTTAATTAAGCTAAAAACTTTTAAGAAAAAATTTTATATAAAAAAAAATTTAAGCTATCTAAACTTATTATTTTAAGTAATAGAACACCTTTAAGCTCTTACCCTCTATATAATAGTTTATAGTATGCAAATATGCTTTTAATTTTAATATAATTAGTATAGCTTTATAGCTTAAAGAAAAAAGAAAATAGTTAAAAGTGTTTTACATTAGGCTAATATTATATTAGGTGTAATCTTAAGGCTTTTATAATTCTTTATAATAGTTAGTAGATAACATAGAATAACCTAATACACTTATATATATTATAAATAGCTATAATATAGTAGCTTACTATAACTTATTATTATTATAAAGTAAAGTTAACTAAGGCTGTAAAAGTATTAAAGCAGATAATGTTTAGTTAGAAAAGATTAGAACAAGTTAGAGCAGATATAGAGCTAAAGCCTAAAGTTGCACTACTGTTTTGCTTAACTAGGGGGAGATCCTCTAGAACCCTCTTTTTGCCTGCAGCAGGCTTTGCTTAGAAAGTCTTAGCAGAGCTAATTACATTTAGCAGGAAAAATTACACTGTAAAAGTAATTTTTACACCCCTAACTGTGCAGTAGTTAATTACAATAGGAAAAAAAGAAGACTAGATTAAGCATGTAGCATAGCAGAACAATTACTTAAAGCTTAAAAACAAATAGTAACGCAGCTTTTTAGTTACTAATTTTCTACTAATTAAATTAATAGCTGGCTTATATCCAGACTAATAGGAGAGAGGGCTTGGCGGTAGAGATAGTGTAATATTTGATTGATGATGATGATGAGTGCTGTGTCGTTGAATTAGAGTTAGCGGAGATAGTGAGGCTAAGACGACTCACCTTCCGTGAAAAGTTTTACGTTAATCCTCTTTCGTTTAGCCTTCTTTGGAAATGCCTAGGTACCCTTACCGTAGATCCACCATCGAGATCTCCGGGCCTCGGCAGGCCGCAGTCCAACTCAAACTTTAAAGTTTGCAAGCGGAGGAAGAAGATTCCCCCGATGGGCCATGTCAGTGGCGAGGCAACTCTGGTCTTTAGCGAGACTAGTCGAAATAGCTTCATATGCAGCTTCACGGGTGTCCACCACTCACCCAAGAACGGTGGTACAGCTCTTAGGTTGCATGCGATGGAAAGAAAGAAGAGTTAAAACATGATATCGTTGTGTTATATGACGGCCCTATCTCCATGAGTGCGAAGACTAGAGCTATCACGACGCCCACGGGCTGCGGTCATTGAAGTGCGTGGTTCATGGCTCTGTATTACGCAGTCTTCTTTCATAGCTACCGCCATTGACTTCTCTAATCCAACGACCATGCACAATCACCTCTCGTCTTCGGCACCCACCGAACCACCATGTATATCTTTCCTGCAATCACCATCCTCACGACCCTAAGCGCCATGACAACTGCTAACTCCACCCCCCCCACCTTCCAAGGAAGCCATTGGCCTGCTTAGCCACATAGTAGATAACCTAGACACGAACAGGCAGATATACTGCGGGCCGCATTTCATCAGCAACATGGACAAGATCCCGATTCTCGAATCCCGATCCGGAGAGCATGATTTGACAGGATACCAATGCGCTCGTTTCTGTTCCCCATATTGCCACTCCCTATACCACTCTATTAACAAATGCGACTAAACCAGCGGTGGTATTTACAATACACTGTAGCAGCGATAAGATGAATGCCAAGTAGCACTGCCGTATACTTGTGGTGGAGAGAACAGCTGTGTTATGGACAGGTTTAATTGGGCGCTTACGTGAAGAGGGAAAGGTCTTCAGAAATATGGCATTCTGGTGCACGAAAACAAAGAGAAGAAATTCGTTAGTGTCTGTAGGAGTGTGTGTACAATTGAGAGATGGAGGGCTAGAAAATCACCCGAGGTTCCGCGATAAAAAGGGGCGAGATAGGAGAGCGTTTCCCGCCTTTCCATTACCTCAGCTCCCTTCCCCGTGGGTAGCAGCTGCTCCATCCGCCCACAAGATATGCATGATTTCATTCCACCTCGCATCTCGTTGCACTCCTTTAATACCTGCCCACATGCCAGGGGCTTGGCAGTGGAAACCATGAAGAGAACTTTTTTTTTTTTGTTGAAATTCTGACTGTAGCTAGCATTTGCAAGGCAGGGTACTCGCACAGCTTCCCACCAGCCTCGACACAACATGTTTGCTTCGGGAACTGATCAGGATTGATCCGTTGCGGGCTTGCGGGCCGCCAGCGGTGCCGTTGCCATTTCCTACGCTTGCACTTGTCTCAAGTAGAACGTCCCATTATCGTCATCGTTTCTACAACCACTGTCTACTTTCCATTTGTTTCATCGCACAGCCAGCCGTGAACCAGCCGCAACACGTTGAGCTTAGGATCCTCCTGTGCTCTGGACTTCTGCAATATATCTGTATGCCTCTTCGAACAGGGCTCGAGTGCTGGCATGCACTGAGAAGACGAACGTTTGCGGCGAGGTATTGCGGACACGGTGAGAGTAGCGAATGGCTAGTTGCAACTTTCTACCTGCTATCAGCACGATAGTGCAAGACGAACCCAGCGCAACTTGTCACGGATCCACGCCAAGATCTCGGGCTGATCGACCAAGTCAGGGATCCGGGATGTAGGGGAGGTTGCAGCTCGGTCATACACGCTAAAATCTCGCTTGTCGGCTAAATTTCGGCCAATGTATCCAAAAGCTCGCGCGACACGGGAAAACTTCCTCCAAACAGCACCCACCACTACGTCAGGTCGCAGCCTTGAAACTCTCTAAAAACTCTCTAAATTAAGCGCTATTTCTATCTAAATAGAATCCTTAAACCCCTACAGCAGCCTAAGTACTTACGTAAGTCCTATTCCCCTCATTATTTGGCTTACTTACTTTTGGGTGGCGCCCCACTAAAAAGTGAGAGCCTAGATATTGTATCCTAATTGTATCTGCAGCAATCCTACATTAATTATCGTACGCTCCATCATTTGCCGCGTTGTGTTCCGGATTAGGTGCAAAAGACAGTACATGTGAGTACATTTAGGATACAATTCCCTAATTTAAGTTTGTACTTAATATTATCTAGGATAGTGTCTAGGACAAAGAGATGCAACTCTTTATTAAGAGTAAAGAAAGCAGTGTAGCTGCTTAAGTTATCTAAGGCTTTAATCCTTTATATACTAAGTGTTAGTGCTAGGTTAATAATTGTAGAGTAAGTAAGGATTAACTCTAGATATAATTCTTACCTTAAGTAATGTATTCTAATTATATCTAGCACTTTATCTTTAGTTATTCTAGTCTACTTAAGCATGTTTGCAAAGCATATGCCCTGCTAATTATTAGAAATTAAGCTAAAGGACAGAAGAAGGCAGCTAAACTCTAGATTATTAAAGGTATACATTCTAGATATAATTTCTAAATTTTAGTTATGCATTCTAATTATATCTAGATACGTACAAGGCAATTATAGAGACTATTTAACAGGCAGCAGAGAATAGTGACAAGGATGCTAGGCTTGCTTTGCGTTAGGATCCTGTACGTTTTGCTACTTATAAAATACATTACTAGAATAGCACTAATTGTATCTAGCCACTAAAAACTTAGAAAGAGATCCACGCAGATGCCTGTGCAAAGAAGAAGCAAGTTGCTGCTAAGAAAAAGGCAGTTAAGGCAGCTAGAGGTAGTACAACTAAGGTAAAATACTTCTTAGATACATTCCCTAAATTATATTTTAATTATATCTAGCACAGAAAAAAGGTTAACTTAAAGGACAATAACTATAATCTAGATAAGGACATAAAGGTTAAAGATAGTAAAGTAAGTTAGTTCTAAATATAATTTTTAGATTTATATCTTAAATGTATCTACGCTCACCTCTTTAGGCGTTTAACTATAAGGTTAGCTGTGTTATTTGCTATAACAATCCTAAAGTAAGTATTATTTAGATATTATATATAAAATATATTTAAAAGTCTTAGTCTCTTAACAACCTGTTTATAATCTACATTGCTAAAGGTGTAAAGATGCCTATAATTCTAGGCAAAACTTTTAAGGTATGTAGATATATTCTAGATACATTACCTAAGTTTAAATACTAATTGTATCCTAGTTACCTAATATCTTAGCCCTACTTTACATTATTTTTGTCTATAATAATAGTTACAAATCTCTGTGCGCAAACTGCGGCAAGGTGACTAACACGCGCAGAGCTTATAAGCATAAGTGTTCTTTATTTAAGATATAATTCCCTAAATTTTAGGTTATGTATTCTAATTATATCTAGAATGCACTTTTAATAGGGCCTATGCTAGCTGTAACTACTTCCCTAAGTGGGATGTACCCGCCAACTAGTATACAGGCCCGACTTACAAGGGTATCCTGCGTAGGCACATTTAAGCAGATAAGGAGTAGTTCTAGATACAATTACTAGATATGCATAAAAGGAGCTATAGAAATTTAATTTAGATGCATTACCTAGGGTTTCTTTTTTAAGCAGCTTAAGCTACTTTTTAAAGATAAAAATTTTATTTAGATATAATCTAGAGGATTTTTTAAGCAGCTAAGGCTGCTTTTACAGAAGGTAGATTTATTATAGATATAATACCCCTGCATTAACTTAGGCGTTTTATTAGAATATAATTCTAGAGCTAATAGCTTTCTCTAACCTAAGAAGCAATTTAAATGTAATACTTTGTTTTTAATGTTTAGAAAGTAAACTACTTAAAGGCTAAAATTAATATAATATTAAAACTAATTTATATTACTTAATGTCTTAAAAGTATTTTTTAAAGGTCCTAAAAGTAGTTATCTATATAGTTAATGTCTACTTAACTACTTTATCTTTAAATCTAATAATAATCACGTTAAGAATAATACTAATAGGTATAAAATAAAAAGCGTAGGTGTATATTATAATGCTAAACATAATTAAGAATATATTATAGATGCGTTTATAATCTATCTAGCTACTTATATCTACTTTTGTTATCTACATCTAAGTCCTTTATAGCTAAGCCTATTGCTAGACAACACTCCTTATATTAGATCTTAAGAGCTAGAAGCTCTATTTAGTGTTTTTTAAGCTTAAACTGCTGTATATCCTATTTATCTACCACAGTTAGTAGCCTTAGAAGTGACCCTTGCAACAGGATGTGGCGTAGCTTTAAAGGTAAACTAGTTAAGCTAGTAATAGGGTTAGTAATGCATTTAAAATGTAATTTAGTTGTATCCTACTGCTTCTCTAGAGAAGGGACACATAGAGATAGGGTAGATCTAGAGTAGGTAAGCAATGTATCTAATATGTATCTAATATGTATCTAAACATACCTTGTTAATTTTAGAACGCAAGACAGCAACTTAGCAGACAAGACAGACACTCTACAAGACTTAATTAGTGCCTAAGAGCTTTATTTAGCTAGCTAACTACAGCAAGCACTACTAGGTATATTACTGCTTAAGGTAGCAGTAAACAGCACCTAGTTCTTACCTTTCTTTATAAGATTAATTTCTTCTATTTCTACAATCCCTTACGCTGCAACACGCTTTAGAATGTATTAGGAATTAATTCTAAATATATTTTAAAAGCTTACTTACTTTTATAAAGCATATGCTCCTTGTACCGCTTATTTATTAAGCAATTACAGTAGGTGTAGGATACACCTTTGTCCTAGGCAGTACACTCCTCTATAATACGTTAATCTATAGACTAGGCCCTAATTAGAATGTAATTAGTATGTATTCTAAATTAAATTAGAATGTAATAACAAGTAAAACGTACTTAAAAACTGCAGGCAGGAGATGCTGCTAGGTTTTATAAGCATAGAACGCATTTGCTGTCTGCTTAACACTATTAGTGTGCAGGCGTTGTTAAAGGAAGTTAGAAGTAGGAATATTAGAAAGATTTAGATTTAATCTAGCAGCAATTACAGAGTGTTTTTTATAGCAGGCCTACTACTAGATTAAATTGCATTTGTTCTCTAGGATATAATTAGCAACATTATAGAATGCATAATAAATAAATTCTTAAAACATACTAATTAGCAGATCTAGGATCTAGTGATATTTAGTAGCTAATGCCTTTAGTATAGTAACTATTTAGGTATAAACAGAGTAGCAAGTCTATCTAGGCCTAGCAGCTCTCTTAATACTACGCCTAAAGTGGACGCGGCAGAAGATAAAAAGTTGCCTTGCTTGCCACCTCTAATCACAGCTGTACAGATTAATAGACTAAAGCTAATGCGCAATACCTGCATATAATTAGTATCTATTCTTATTAGTTTTAGCACAATACAGAATGCATCCTGTATCTACTTACTAGCTAGTTGCTTCCTATCTATATTAGCAACTAAGGCTATTAAGCCTTTGCTATGTAAGTATTAGAAGTAGAGTTGTTTATTTGTTATCTTAAAGACAAGCTTATTAATACGCGCTATTATACGCTAATAAGTAACACGCCTAGCGCTATTAGTAATAATACAAAAATATAGAATGTCTAGATACATTAATAATACATCTAGAATGTATATAGATCTGTAACTTACTTTTTTTATACTTTTTACTCTATAATACAGCAATAATCTTATTAAAGGCAGCGTTATAGATATGTTTAAAAGACATATTAATCTTAAAGGACTTCTATTAGAGTAAAAGCTTAATCTGCTGCTTATAGCAATAGATAATTATAACCCTATTAGTATTATTATAGTAGCTTTAGATATAGCGCTAGATATATTAAGAATGCATTCTAAATGTATTTATAAAATATACTTACCTCTTCTACTAGCAAGAAACGCTGCTGATGATACTTAGCTAGTACACCACAGGTGGTCTTACCTTAGGGATAAGCAAGTAGGCGTTCTTAGTATAGAAGACACCTAATTTAATCCTTATTTGCAAAAGACTAGTAAATCTAAGGGAGAGTAGCTACATAGTAGTTATTATAGAATTAATAAAGCATTAGGCTTTATAAGAACTAGGCTGTAGCAGTAAGTTTAGTTCTAAATACATTTTAAATATATATAGAATGTTTTTACTTACTAAGCATTATGTTAGGTGTAATGTAGTTAGCTATTACTCTAACTAAATAATTAACAACATCCTTTAGAGCACAACTAAGAGAAGAAGGGCAACTAATATGTGTCCTAAATAAAACAAATATTGTAATTAGCTTATTAATCTAGTTATTAAAGACAATAAAGTAGAAACAGAAGGCACAGCTGTTATATTAGACTATATTTTCTTAGCCTTGTAGATAGTTAATACCTAGATACATTAAAAGTTAATTTAGAATAGATATATAGCTGTTCTTTAAATAGACTTACTGCACATTTAGCGCTTTAAAATGCTTAGCTTAACAACACTATAGTATTTAGGTGCCTCTTAAGGTACCTTAACACTACGCACTAACTTTTCTAAAAGAGGCTTATTAAAGGTATTAGGCAGAAGCTACTTATAGAAGTGCTTACTACGCTTTTCTAGAGCTGCGCGATAGTTCTTATAGGCTAAGTAAAAAGTTAATCTGCTATTTAGGTCCTAGATATATTAGAAACCTATGCTAAATATAACAAAAGTGTTATAGAAATGTATCTAAAAGTAGGCTTACTAAAAATCTTAGCTGCTTAATTATAAGCTTACAGCTCTTTACCTATAAATTATAGGCTTTATGTATATTAAACCTAGTCTATGCTCTTTAGAAAATTGCTATAGATTTACACCTCTTTAAATCTATTTCTAATATATTATTAATTATATAGAGCTTTGCGTAACAAGCCCACATTAAATCTAAAATCTATTTATATTGCATGTTAGATAGGTCTAGATGTAGGTATTTGCAGCCACAGAATCCTGTGCACTGATATTCAGCACAGAGGGCATTACACCTAAGGTAGGGTGAGTAGACTAGGCGGAACAGTAAGACAACTTAGCATAAGAATTAGTAACCCTAATATAATAATAATACATTAGCAATAAATTTTTAAAGTATTCTTAGAAAATTAGCTGCTGTAAGTACCTTTAACATTAATATAGCTTACTGCTAAGTAAAGTTATTATAATTAAGTACATAAGCATACCTATCTAGATGTGTATAGGGGTATTTAGGTAGGATCTAGCTACTGTCTATCTTACAGGCAATAATAAGGTTAACGCTCTTAGTAAGTGCTAGCTATACATTATCTTCCTCTTATAATACACTTAGAGTATATTCTAAATAAATAATAAATGTATCTTAGAGCTTACTTACCTGTATATTAGGGCCTATAGGCTTAACCTTTAGCAGAGGATAGCTACGCTCTTTAGTAAGGGCCTTGTCCTTATCCTTAATAATAAGGTCCTGTGTATTAATAGTAAGATTATTAACTAGGGTTTAAGCTTGCTTAACTAGGCAGTAGTATTGCTAGATAACTTCTGTAAAAGAAGGCATAGAAGAAGGTATAGTATTAGAAGACATTAAAGATACAAATTGTTAAGTTTCTAGATATAAAAAGGCTCATTGTAATTATATCCTAGAATGCGCTAGATATGCTCCTAATTTATAATTAAAATGTACCTATACTGCTATTTACGTCCCCCGCTTCTGTTGCAGGGCTATTACCTTTTGCATACTAGCTTTGTAGCTAAAAGATGACCTTGCATATACAAAAGTTGAGCTAGACATGAAAAAGTTAAGCTAGATACAAAAAAGTTGAAAGCTGACGCAACACTTTCTGCTTTTGATTTCTGACGCTTGGCTGCTCAAGCGAGTTTTTAGCGTGTATGAACGAACTGTACGCACGATGTAGGGGACGGACAGTGGAGAAGGGTTTGTGTCGCACGTGTCTCGCGCGATACCATACCCATGTACTGCACTATTCACTCATTAGGACTAGCTCCTTTCTCGTACAGTATATAGTCAGCCCAGAGCTCTCTCTCGCTCCTTAGACCTTACAACACACTCGTACAATCCACTTTGTTTGGATCTCAATACCTTGTCGACTCGCTTACCGTATGACCCCTTCTCAGCTCATGCAAGAGTTTGTGCTTTCGGCTCGATACGTCCGCGGAGGAGCTTGAGCGTAGACGTAAATTTCCCCCTGCTTACAATAAACCTAGCGTGCGTTGCAGAGTGACCACCGAAGTAGTTATTGTTCATAGTAGCGCCACCCTCGAAGTGCGAGCCCACAGTGGCGTTATGGCCCCTGCAGGATAGCTCCGTCGAACTCGCCGGGCCGCCGCATCCCAGCTTTAGGACGCGATGTCACTCACCTTCTTTTTATTTCCAAACCTTGTAGAAAGGACCTGGAAGAGCTGTCACGGCGAGACCGATGTCGCGAAGCCAGCGGTAAAACCGCGCTCCGCGTCGGTTTAGCGCGCTCTCGACCCTCACGTCCGCGTAGCCTTACGGGTTGTTCGAAAATTTCTTTTTGCCTCAACACGTTGTCCTTAACCCGAATACATATTTCCAAGCTTCTTCGGTGTCCACTACTACTTTTTTTTGTCTACCTTGTCATCAACAACCCAACCCTAAGATTTCCCTTCGCGTTGCAAAAGCTGCCGCTGAGTCACGCACGAGTTCTGTTCATTGCCAGCTATCTAGCGCGTGTCTACCTAATCAACACACTTAAGCGCACAGCCCCCCATTTCAAAATCTCACTCTTAATTCGCCACGAACAGCTACTAACCCAACTCACCTGCACTCACATTCAGACAGCACTGAGTCACACCTCGGTGGTGGCAGCCGTGGCGTTCTGGACTGCGCCTCATCGCTCAGCCGCACCACCGGGGCTGGTACTTCTCTGTCGCCATCATGCTTCACACGAACTGTGATCCTTCATCTACAACAGCCAAAGCCTATCTATACGATTTATCGTCATCATCGTCATCATCCAGCGGTTGGAAAAGCCTCTAAGCAGAACAATGTGGCCTCTCCTTGCGCTCTCTGCCTCCCTGCACTTCGCTCAATTGGTTGCGGCTGAGCCAGTCGCACCTGGGAACTGCACACTCCCCCCAACTTCACCACTACGCTTCAGCGACGACTGCAAGCTTCTATGCCGTTCTGCGAGATGGACCGATGTTCTAATATTCTATCTCGGCAACTATGCCGCACACGCCGCAACTACCAAGCGCTCTCCAGGCGAGTCTGTCTATTCCTCGATCAATTCCATTATTGCGGCTCTCTTCTTTCCAACCTCCGGAGTCGTCCGCGGCACGAAGGCGATCTTGAGCGGAGCTATCTTTGCAAACACGGAGCTTCAAACCGCCGCGAAGGCGGGGGCAATCTACGCTGTTAAACGTTTCTCCTCCCCGGAACCCTGGTTCCCCGACGGTGTATGTCTCGAACCACCGACAGTACGAAAACGGGATCTAGTCATGAATTTCACATCTCTCAAGATCCATGGCAGAATCTCATTGCCCGCGTCATGGTACCTAGAGCCAGTAAAATCAGATACCGAGTTCGAAAACGACACACCCAGACCAGGTGGAATCTTCGAACCCTTCAAGTCACCTTTCCGCCGTCCAGACCAACGACGAGTACGACTGGCGAATTCCTACAGTGCTGTCAAATCTATCGTTGCACTCATCCAAGCTTATTTCGCCATCGCTACGCTCTATCGTTCCCGCGGTACCCAGATCGACAGGTTCGGATACGCCGCTTTTGGATTGACAGTTGCACCATATGCTTTCATGTCTGTTGTCAATCTCTTCGGAAACTTGATCTGTCCAGAATATCCCGCTGTATTCATTGTCGAAAACGCTGAATTAGACCGGCTGAGAGAGTGTATTGCCTCTGCTGGGAAGCAAGAGGAGTTCTTCGTTGAAGGTACCGTAGGCAGAATTACCTTGGCATCGGACCAGCCCATAATTGATGACCCCGAAATTGAACGTGCCAGATTTGAACGTTCCCTCAAAAGATTGTGGGTCAAAAGGATCCCGAAAGACATCGCGAAAGACATGATCGCCATCCCCGCTCTGACAGGGGCAGTCCCGATATCAATAGTCGGCGGTCTATCCGGATTCAAAGAAGGCCAAAGCACACATTCACAGCGTGTTTGGACAATGACATGGTTGGTATTTGGCATTTTTATGGGTGTTAGCTGCGCAAAATATCTCCGACCTACTGGAGAAAGTACCCCGCTTCAATTCCTTTTTATATTCTTCGCGGTACTCACATATGGTGTATCAGCTGTGGGAGGCTTTGTTGTTGTGGGTCAAATGATCACTCAATATGGCACATGCGTCAGCGTTCGTTAGCCTATGTATACCACTTATCAGTATATTTCTCATTCCGAGCCTATAATACATCGGAGTCTATTACTTTATTAGACGTAGTTCGCCGCTGTAAAGGCGAGGCTCCGCACCACTCCGCCATGACAACAAAAATGTACAAATAATCAACCAACGGATCATTCGCGTGGGGAATAGTATATATGCGATACTGTGGCCGGCGCCAAACGTTACTGACGTGCTGCTAACTGAATTCGGCGAGGGAATATCCCTATCATTATCATTCCGCAACCGCCCCATATCTCGCGGGAGGTGGAAGGGTGGCTTTCTAGAGTGGCAAGCCGAGGGTGCATTTCGTTAATCATGAAAACCACGCGGCGCCATTAGTCCTTGTAAACAATACCACCCGACCGTTACCCAAAGACCTAATTGCGGTGCAGCTGAATCGGTTGATGATCACCACTGGACTTGCATATATGGCATGTATGCCATTTCTAAAGGCATGACCCCATACCCGGTCTCCACGTGGGTAATTCTTCCACCGGCACGATTATATTAGCAAACGGAACGACAAGTAATGGAACGAAGAGCGTTACAACATCAGTCATTGAATGTAACGTTGGCTGCTTCAATGTCCTATCTATTGCTTCTATCCTAATGGTTATTGCTAGTCTATTTCACCCCGTTATTCATTACTCTCTCACCCTAGATATCTCGAGCCTCGCGACTAGGAACAATCTATATATACCGCTTCTCACTGCCGGAACTTCGTGGAGGCGTACGACCGTGCCGAACTCCCAAAGAGCATGAAAGTACAATTTAGGGCCAACAATTTCGGTAGTTTCTTACTGGAGTGAGGCAATATCATCTAGTCTGAGCGGCATTGCCGATCTATGAAATTGCCTTGCTTCGCCGTGATGCAGTTTACCAATTTGTAAGCGATGTTGGGGATTTATAATCAGCTGCTGCACAGTTACAAACCGGCTTGCTGCTTTTGCGGTTGCATGAGGTGGAAAACAAAAGAATCTATGACTGGGCGTGGGGATGCAAGATATACCACAGTAACTGGAAAATGGAATATAGGGCATCCAACCTGGCAGATGTCACTTGCGGACTCGCTACATTACACCTAACTTTAGAAGTCTGCTCATCTGCAAATTTGGGGGAATTTGCTTAAAGAACAGAGGAAAAACATATGTCTATGCCGAACTAACATCGTCGCCGCAGCCTCACTGGGATTTTAGACGCTGGACGCGAAATCCCAACGCCAAAGCCTTGAAGAGAAACATCCTCTTTCACACCTCTACCGTCCCCGAGAATCTCACAGTCGAACAAGGTCACAATCAAAGCAGATGTGAGCAATATCTGGCGTTTCGCAAAGTGGCGGCCAGGACATTGTCGCGGTCCGCCTCCGTACGGCATCCACGATCCTTCCAGGTCTTTTGTCGAAAATGCAGGAGTCGAAGTGGGGTGTGTAGGCTCCTTGAGGAATCTTCCAACCCAGAACTGGTCGATAGGGTAGTCGTTGTTCACACCGGTGTTCCATGCTTTCGTATCCATGTGTGCGCAGGTTGTACTTGTGACGATCACTTTCCGTCTCGGAATGACCCAGTCTCGTATGTCCATGTCGACCTTATCCGGCATTCTGATCATATAGAAGTGCATTCTGAGGCGCAAGGTCTCGGCATAGACGGCTTGGAGAACTGGCTGGCGGAGTAATGCGTCGATATTAAAACGGATGCGGCCATCTGGACCAGGTATTCTACAAGCATCCACCTCGCCTCTGACTTTTTCGAGCAGTTCAACGTCTCTGTACAATTCGAAAACGGTCCAGGACGTAGTGGCGATAGAATTTCTTGCTCTGAAGAAGGTCAGTGTATGATACACCATATGTGGGTGGTTAATGTTGTAGCTTACGCCCATATCGCTCCGAAATCTTCAGACGCGATAGCGTCATGATCAAAACCGTCCATTTCAAGAAACATATTCTGCCTGTCTCGAAAGAAGGTGGCCCCCCAAAACGGATCGTCGCCGTCTGCTCCTCTTGCAGAGTCTGTGTAATTTTCTCGTGCATGCTTTTGCCAGATTCTAACGGCATTCAGAACCCTTTTCCGGACGGCGTAAGCCCTCGGAGCGAGGATCCATGGCATGCCTGAGACGGAGGTCAGTTCATTCGGATGCATACTACCGTCTATAGAGCAACGTACCCTGAAGGTAGGTCTGTAGATTACGATCAAAATCCCAAAAGTCTTGCAGAAATGTCGGATTCAACCGTAGAAGATGAGGTCCGCAGAGTGCGTTAACAAATGAAATGGTAGCTTCATCTCCAACAAGCCGCATTAGGTCTGTGCAATGTTCCCAGTCGGAACCTTCAAAGCGAGATTGCAGAGTGCACATTCTCGTGGTGATATCGTCTGCAAACCGGCTCCAGAAGGGCAGGAGTCCTTTCCCCTCCAGTAATTTGACCAAGGTTTGGTATACGCGATAGTCGACACGATTCCTTGCCTCCACGGTGCTGTCGGGGTGAGGTACGCGGCCGCTGCCGGAATTATCTTTATCGTACAAGCTTAGCGCCTTCGGAGGCAACCCGAAAGCGTATCCTAGAGCAAATTTGACAAAGGGGACTGACGTGCATGCCCAAGAGTTCTTGAAAATAACTTTAATGTTCTCTGCACCCTGAACGACATAAAATTCGTAATTGAGTATCTTGACTCGGACTGGATGTGACCTTTGGAAGAAATTGCTACCAGAGAATATGAGTGACGGGAAACTTGACAGAGAGAGAAATGCGTTCTCATGATCATCTTACTGTGAGTTCAGGACGAAACCCCTTGGGTTCCAGATGTATGTAAGTGGCAGACTTCCTAGCAGTGGAAACACATATAGTTCCGTTGGTGGGGTAAGTTTGGAATTGTCTTGTTTCGTGCATTCCCGGAAGTGTTTATGTTTGTAAATGTAATGAAGTAAGAGCAGAGTGACAACTGCGAGAAGAAGGCTCCAATACTGGTATGATTCCTTTGGAAAAAGATTAAGAATCTTTAAGTTGAAGGATAAGAATGTAGGGCCGCGTAGTGGGATAAATTCGAGTGCTGGGCAACCCATTGTCCTATCATAGGGAATCGGGTTCGGGGTTCGCAACAGCCGGAGTTCCAGCCGTGAGGAAGAGAAACGGGATCTTGTGATCTACCTTTCTTGAAGCTTTCTTGGCAAAAGATGGTCAAAATCGGGAAGTGACAGGATCATGGTATGGTAATTTTATTGCTCCCACGGCTGGACTCCCGGAGATGTGGAACATGTGTGATGACCTCGGAAGGCTTTGAAGAACTGTTCCCGCTAAGCCGATATTGGCCGAGTGCTGCGCCAACCTTTGGTGGCGCGATTTAACTTTAGTTTCCGGCTGCCTCGCTTCAACATTTCGACAGTTCAAGGACTGTAATCTTGGGGTGGCGGTGGTGCAGCGGAAGTGTGTTGTATTGATGTGGTACTGATTCATCTGGAGCCTCTAGGGCAACCGTGGTATATATAGAGAGGTACAGACCATAGTAGATGGTAGGTTGGCCTGGTGACAAGGACGCTTGCGAGCATGTCAACCGTGATTATAACGCAAACATTGATCGAAGGGTAATGGATAGGGGTGTAGTCAGTGCGCTTGTTTACCAGAGTAACTCTGTGTCCGGGGGCTTTTGACTCTTTTTCGGAGATTTTCTATCGCCGCTTTTGGAGTCACTTCCACCTAAAGCGCCAAGCCTAACCTCTCCAGCCCGTCAGCTTTCCTCGCCCAGCCCCCGCACTGCCCCGCCGTCCCGTTGTATGCGTGATCGATTCTAAAATCCACAACAACTGAACGAGCCCAAAACTAGACCGTATCCATCCTATTAATATATTATCGACACTAAGAACCAGCATCTTCGGGAGTTCAAACTAGACTTAATTCCTTCCCTAGATGAGTATAGTAGTCGGTTGGGTATAGTTCTTTTTGGTCATTTGCGCTTTAAAAACTATGTATCTACCGTGCATAGGGTATCAATCTTTGACCGGCTAGATTATTAATCAAAAAGAGGATTGATTGTCCGAGATAAGAGTCTCCAGCTGCCATTTGTGCCAGAGATTGGAGGCTAAGGTAATTGCTGAGTCAGCTGAGCGACTAGCCTGTTTTCCTTTATCTCAGCGAGCTCAGACGGTCGAGGGCTTTGATTAGCGCCACACTATACTTCTTAAAGTAAAGCTGTTTTTTTATAGTCTGCTGAGTTTTTTCTAAACTAATTAAAAGCTATAGTTTTCTTAAAGCGCCTCCTATCTAAGAGACTTTAGTGCGCTGGTGTAAGCGCAATGCTTCTGTCAGATATACGCACCTACTGTCAAGACAGGAGGAACGCTTGACGAAAGCTGCTACATAGTACGAGCAATAAGCTCGAACAGTATGTTGCTGCAAATTGCTGCATGTTGCAAGCTGGTCGCGCATAGGGCAAGTGCGCGAGGGACTCGGATCGGAAAAACAAAAGCCGAGCAACACGAGTAGAGCAGAAAAAGGATCGAAAAATCAATACAATCAATCATCATCCCATACATCACATCCAAACCCATCATTCATCTCAGGAAGCCTAGAAACAGTGCTTCAATCTGACAGCTTCTGTAAGGCCGAGATGGTGCTTACGTGCGACAGGTATATATACTATTCTGCACCCAAAAATCAACGTTGGTTGATTATTCGTACCTTTTGGTTGTATTGGCGGAGTGGTGCGGAGCCCTGTCCTTACAGCTTCTAATCCTCTTAATAATTTTTAGCTCTTTTTAGGTAGCTACAACTCTCTTACTTTCTCTATACTATTATTAGTACTATACTTATAATTAATTCTACTTTAATAGGAAAATTCTAGCTTTTATGTGTAAAAACATATTATTTATTATTGTTTTTTTACCTAACGCTAGCTCTATTATATCTTCTATTTTAATAACATTATTTTAAGGCTTTTATACCTTCTAGCATTTTAATCTACAGTATATTTTAGAGGCTAAATTAAGGTAGGTTAGTTTATCTTAGCTATTATTAATAGTTAAATGTAAGTAGATAGACTAGTAGAGGATAAGGCTAAAAAGAACAGTTGCGTGTTAAGATGTGTGCAATGCTAAGCGTATAATTTTTATAGTTAAAATGTTAGAAATTTATTTAAAAATAGTCTAAAGTAGATTATATATACTCTTTAAGTAATTAATTCTAATTATAGGCGCTGTAATAAGCTGTATGTAATAGTATTTTATATAGGAGTTTCTAGTAGGTTAATAGACAAAGCTTTGCACACGTTGCGCTGCACTAAAGTCCCTTAGACAGCAGCCAAGAAGGAAGAAGCCCCAGCAGGGGTCCGAAAGTATCTATACTATTTGTGTAGTGTCTTCTTGGCATGCTGTCTAAGCTAGCTGAGATAAGTTTTCCTTGCACGCCCGCACGGCTTACACACACCGTACCCCGAGCGTCGAATTTTAAGATGTGGATAACTAGGATAGGTCTGCTGGCGTTGCGGCTGAGCTGCGCTATAAAGGATTTAGCGACCCTTGTGATCGTTAATGGTTCTAAATTAGATCACTAGGTCATTTTCTACCCCTCCCTTTACCGTTATTTGGCGCCTTTTGTCATGGGACCGCGTTATTTTATCTCAGAGCACTTTTTCTAAGTGCGTTGCACGTTAGACTTATTTAACTAGCGTGGTTTAGTTTAGTTCATTTACCCCGACCTGTCCCTATTATGGGATATGCGGGCTACCATTACTCTGTGTCGCGTACAGCTATCCGTCTACATATATCCTTCTGCTGTGCTAGCTGGGAGGTTGACCTTTTAGCAAACGCAACACTCTGTTAACTATTAATAATCCTTGGGTTGTGCTAGCTGTATACAAGATAATGATCCATTAATAGAAGCCGACCACTTAAAACTCTAAGTTGCTTCTCGATAACGGTGGGCAGACACCTCTACGCGGTGCTGGGGACCAGCACTCGAGTAGCAATTCTGTCTGCTACTTGGGGAAGCTAAGATCTGCCTACAAGAGAGGGAAAATAGAGGCACCAAGCTCATGGTTCCTCGACGCGTCCATTAACACCGTACCCTGGTCATCGAAAACAACGACGGGTAGCTAGTATAAAGGTGGGAATTTTGTAGGGCGGATAGCACCGAGAGCAAGATCTTGGACAGAACAGGAGCCTGTCGCAGGAGAGACGAATCGCTGGGAAGCCTCACTTGTCAGGATTCAGACCTCTGTACAGGTCATACGACCTCGAAACCGGTCACGTGGAGCTATACAGTCCTATTGTAGGGCATCTAGCCTTACATTACCATGCTAGGAAATCCTCCTATATAGAAGGAGCTTTTCTGGTTGAAACCTGTTATTCGCATTCGCAGGGTCGCCTCTGTCGCACGTGTCTCACGCGATATCATACCCATGTACTGCACTATTCACTCATTAGGCATAGCTCCTATCTCGTACAGTATATAGTCAGCTCAGAGCTCTATCGAGCTCCTCAGACCTTACAATACACTTGTTCAATCCACCTTGTTTAGATCTCGCTCCCTTGTCAAGTTGTTTGCCATATGCCCCCTCCTCAGCTCATGCAAGAGTTATGAGCCTAGAGTTGCGCTCCTGACTAGTCCTCTAGTCACCACTGCACAGTTAGCTTTTGCATCTAGCTTCAGGGCCCTGCAAACCTTAACACATATTAATTACAGATTGCTTACTACTTAAGCCTAATTAACTAGACAATAACCTTCTGTCTATTCTAAAACATATTAATCACAGATTGCTCACCACTTAAGCCTAATTAACTAGACAATAACCTTCTGTCTATTCTACACATATTAATTACAGATTGCTCCCTACCTAAGCCTAATTAACAGGATAATAACCTTCTGTCTATTCTAAAACATTAATTACAGATTGCTTACTAGCTAAGCCTAATTAACTAAACAACAACCTTTTTATCTACTAAAGATAACTCTCACTATTAATGCTTCTATACAGCTTACTAAAAAGAGCAACTAGCAGCCCTAGTTTAGTTGCATTAAGACACAAGCAACTAGAGAATGTGTCTAGAAGTATATTAATCTAGATCTTTTACTAGAAAATCTTCTAGTTAACACTATGCTATAGAGGCCTAAGGTTATAAAGTTTTATACAGGCAGCACCTAGCTTAGTCTAAATCCTATAGTCTCTAACCTAAACCTTAATAATTAATAATGCTACATAATAGCCTATAAAGACTACTGTAATAATTTAAGGTTATTCTAAACTTAACATAAAGCTTTATTAAACATCTATGTGCTTATTAAGAGCACTATTAACGCATTAAACTACTTTATTATTAGAGATAAAAAACAATTTATAAAAAGCTAAAGGCCTTAAGGGCAATTCTAAAGCTTTTTAATAAGTAGCTTAAGTAGAGCGCATAAATAGCATATAACTGCGTAAAAAAGTAGTTATTAAAAATAAAATAGAACTAATAGATTACAGCGTACAAGAACGCATATATTAATGCTAAATTAGTCTACCTGCTAAATGTAACAGAATATTAACTACACTATAACTTTATGTTAGTAATTTTAGACGTAAACTCTAGATGCGCAGTAGCTATTTAATTAATCCTAGTCTAGTATAAATAGACTAATAAGGATCTACCTAATTTTCTTACTAGCTGTCTAGAGTTCTTTAAAAATTAGTAATAATTACAGCTAGCTTAGTAACCTAGTGTTACCTATAGCAGTTTTACTACATACTAAGAACGCTTGTCTACACTAGAACAGCAGTAACAGCAGTTTATATGCAACTTCTGTAGAGGTTGCTATAAATTAAAAAACTATAGAATTAATAATTCTTAACTAAAACTTAAAAAGTTTTAGATTTTTACTTTTCTTTAGTAGAAATATAATAAGCAGATAAGCAGTAATTCTTAGCTTAAAGTAAAAGCTAAGCTGCTTAAAAATAAAGACCTTTCTTTACTAAGAAACTAACTAAACTAAGGAAAAGAACGCAGTAGATAGAAAGGACGCAGAAGGAGTAGCAATAATAGCAACTATTATTAGCTAATTTAATTGTCTAATTATGCAACTTAATTATATAATTAAAGCCTATAGTCTTAACCTAGTCTATATCTAAATGTAATCTCTAAGACGCTAGCTTCTAATAATTCTACTAACTAGAATCTACTTAATGCTTTAACTAGCACTAGGTAATTAGCAGCTACTTTTATAAGCTTTATAATAAACCTTATAAGTAAGAAACATGCTATAAAGCTAGATAACAAAGAGAATTCTTTTTAGCACTTATAGATCTTAGATTCTAGAGTAGACATCTATGTTTATAATAATCTAGCTAACTTTTAATAGACTTAGAGCTTATTCTTATTAGACTAACTTAGGGCTAGCAGCTAACTTCTTTTTATACTAGCATAGGGCACAGTTACACTTACTGTAAAGGGTCTTAAAGGACCTACTAAGATAAACCTAAATAACATAGCTTATATCTTTAGCATATTTACTAGTCTTATATCTTTTTTATA